ATAATGGATTAACCTGTGTACTAGTGAGGACTTACCAAAGCTTAATGAATGGGTTTTTGTGCGTACACCAACATGCTACTTGCACACTCAGTCTCCCTCATTGCAATTCAACCAATTCAGGGAGAAGGGAACGAACCAAAGCAACATGCATCCTCACAGACGGTGATTCTTTGAGCCAAGAACTATTCTAGGTCTCCAACAACCTTCATCAACAGTTGCTTTACACCATCAATTTTTGGGTGAACTATCGCCCATCTACTGTATCTGCACTGCTTCACACCCATGTGCTGAGCAGGGTGTCAAGCATTAAATTGCAGAAGCAGGGCTCTTCAGTCAACGGCCAGGCCTCATCAGAGCTGAGCGAGTTAAGCTCGGATGCTTAACCCGCTTGGTTTTAACACTGCACCTTTCACTGTGTGCAGACTGGCACTTTTAAAAAGAGATTACGTCCTTAAGAACATTGAGGGGCAAAGGCTAAAATTAAGCCATGACAAGGTTTTGCCAACATCATAAACCAAAAATTACTGTTTGTGTGTGTGTGTGTGTGTGTGTGTGTGTGTGTGTGTGTGTGTGTGTTAGTGTAACTGTGTGGTTGTACACGTGTCTGCAGAAACTGACAGCGTTTCATATGGTTTCATTCCAATGAATAAGCGCTCTCACTGACACTTGGCTTTTCCTCAAGACCACATTTTCTCAGATAGCAAAACACACAAATAGCTTTTATGTTGTGATGCAGAATGAAGGCTAAAGGCTTTTCAAATTTCTTCTGCTTTAGAGATTTAGCACTGGAGAATTATGAGTCTCTTGATACAGTACATCTGTGCTGAACATCAGAAAATACCAATGAATGTGTTTCAGACCCTCTACAACTTTATTATTCCCCTGAAAAAAAGACAAGACTTTGTGGAAAGCTGTTTAAAGCTAATAAAGTAATTGTTTTATTAAATAAAAGATGTCAGATGTCTATAAAATGTCTGACAATAATGAAAAAATACCTGTTAAAGTTTCATAAGGCCTAAGTTAATATCTTTGTCCAATCAAGAGTCCAAATAAAGGGAGTGGGAGACGGCCCTCTGATTCGTTTATTGGATCTTACGTCCAAAACACATCCACGATTAATCCAGACCATTTTTCCATCATTAAACCAACAATAGTGGATTTGGACAAGAACTAAATGCACAAGCTCCACTTGCTTTAGAACATGTGCTCAGACTGTTAAAACAAAGCCTGAAGAAAGGCAGCAAATCCCCAAACTTAGTGGAAGATGGAAAAGGGATTAGTATATTTTCATGGGAAGGAAATGTCACTTATCACAATAGTTGCCGATTAATATTCTGATGTGATTTCCTATTCTGGAAAATATCAGAAGCAACTGACTCTGACATTTGCTTTCTCACATACAGCCCCTCCAGAAAGTTTCAGGAAAATGTCTTGACTTCTCAAGTCTTGGTAATCATCTCAGCTCTGGTACATTTTTGGTATGTCACCAAACCCTTTGAGAATGAGGTAATCTCACGATTTGTTTAAGGTTTTCAGACAAACAGGAGACCAATACTTAACAGGTTTTTTTTGCATTTCTACCCTTTAGATCCAGATTCATTCCAACAATAAATATCACATAGAAATCATCTGGGAAATACTTCTGCTCTGGAGGTGGCATTTCACAAACTGCAATTTCTTTTAGGGAGATGACCAACATAGAAACCAGGGTGCATCATGTGCTTTTAACTGACATCTACAATATCCCTAAAAGATTTTCTTCTCAGCTTAAAATTAACCATATAACACCAACAACTCGAACTTGATTCTATCTCAAGTCATTAAATACAAACTGAACAATTGTGTGAAAAGCCAATGAGATGACAACATCCAAATCAATTAGTCATGAACAGTCACTTGTTTTGTTTGCGTTAAAAAAAGAGACAGCATCATCGTTTCGCGCCGACAACAAAACTGACCACTTGTTAAAAATATGAGCTGCACAATCAACAAGTCACTGAGTGAAGAAAAGAGACAAACTGTAAGCTCCAATTACTGCAAACACTCAGATGACTGATGAGCACAGATGTGAGACACTACAGATGTGATTTTTTGTTAAACAATAAAGTGGAAAATAGGCGAGGAGCTGATTAGAACAGTGAGTATGCATATTATTTATTTGTTCTGAATTCTTCAGATTCAGTTGTGCAATAAATACATCGCAGTTGCAGGATGACAGTATTTTCCAGCAATATAATACCAAATCTTAGCATTTCAGCGCTGGCGAACATTCATCCCCAACAGAGTCGCAGATCCTGGTGGAAACTATGCCAAGGACAGACAAATTTGCCTTCGTGGTCTGGTGTGACTCAAAGAATATCTCACAGGAGAACAGAAAACTCTCTGCCTTCATTACAGCAGGTGGTCAGACAACACAAGGGGATTTTTGCACTTCTCTCTCTGTTCCAAATCCAAAACCAGGTCCACACACACACACACACACACACCAACAAGATTTCTTTGATTTACCGAGCACAAAAGCAAGTAGAAGGGAACTCAGTAGAGCACATCCCTCTGCAACAGCCCCCATAAATTGAATACAGCAGCGACAGCACTCACATAGATACATGTCCTTTAAATATGCCAGCTTTTTTTCCCCATCAAGATCCATAAATTATTCCCTGTGATATTAGTGAACTTGTCATAAATAGGCCCGATATTGCAATATCAAAGAAAGTTATAAAAAAATAATCTGGATCCCACCCCCTGATTCAGATCTGCAGCAAAATGTTGTTATTCGTTGGTTCATGGACCAGCTCTCTCCAAAGTGTCATTGCAATTGTTTGAGTAGTTTTAGTATAAAACCTGCACAAACAAAGAAACACAGACATAAGAGTAACCTCCTCGGTCGAGGGAACAGGGTGAGTGTGAACAAAGCAACAGAAGATCAATTTAAACTAGAACCCGACCATACGGCTGAAAATCGGACACTTGGACGACACCACAGGAGCAGTATCTTTTTGTTCTGTTGTTTTTCTGTTTGAAGACGTGGTCCCCCAGTTGCGTCAGTTCTATTGATTCGGCTGCAACGCTGTTTACCCCTGAAACTCCAAAAGTGTTCTGTGAAACACACAGAGCTTCTGCTGATTTTAAAATGTCCTAGATGTTCTCACACATTGACAATGGATGTGTGTGCATCGTGCAGCCTGAGCGCACTGAATCACAACAACACACCCACTGAAACACACCCACAAACCCAGATGAGAGGAGAGAGCAACAACAAGACAGTACTGCTTCACAAAAGTCATAGCACGAGCCAACTTCGTCCAGGATGTTGTGACAATAACGTTCAATGTCACATAGGAAAGGGTTGTGTGTGTGTGTGTGTGTGTGTGTGTGTATGTTTTCATATTAAATGGAGCACTTGGTTCCTACAGCTGATCCTCTTCCCAATGATGTGACATTTAAAATTGAGCAGCAAGCGAGTGAATGAGGCTAAAATGATCCGTGTCAAGGGCAGAGAAGCTGAAAACCAGCGTTGATGCCTGAGGAAAAATAAAACACGAGCATCGAGACTTAACCAACGTGAAGGATGAAGCTGCTGAGCCCACGACGATAAAAGATCCTAGTTATTTTAATTCAACAGTCCCAGCCCCTCCTTCTCCATGCGTACCGACCGTAATATAGGAAATAAACGAGGCAGAATACAGCAAGAGGAAAAAACCCGGAGGTAAAAGTTCAATTAGAAGCTAAAGTAAAGCTGGAGCCATGATAACATCAGAATCTGCGAGGCTCTGGCTGGGAGCTGAGATGTAGGCGTTTACCGCCGCCTGTGTTTATAAACAGCTAACGGTACAGTTAGCCGACGCTAGCCGAGGTTAGCCGCGCTAGCTAAACGCTTCCCTGCGTTTTCCCGAAGCGACCGCGATTTTAAATCAACGACTCAACGCAACAACGGGTTGAGTCGAAGCGAAGCCTCAAACTCTGCTCAGTGTTCTCGTGTCAGTGTGGAAGTTGTTCACCTTCCAGGAGCCGAGAGATGAGGCTGTCCACGTTCAGTTCACCCTCCGCCATCTTCGAACTGATGCTGCACAGCGCTGGCCCGCTTCAATACGCGCCCCGGACACGTGGAGGCGCTGCTGTGCAGCAAACTGACAGTGGATGTCGGAGCACTACAGGTGCTGCACTTAAACTCACTTCAACCACATTTATATCAATTAAATACGTTTATTTATGGCTTTTTAAAAGTCATGAACATATCCTGTGTTGAGTTATATCTAGTGTGCATATTATTATTTTGTTAAATGATAAACTTCTGCTACATCTGTACTGATATTCAGGAATATTCACATCTTTACCTTTATCAGCACGAGTCAGTATCAATTAAAGGGATAGTTCACCCAAACAATGAACTGGTCCTTTAAAATCAAAATTTTAAATAATCAAAAGTTTAATAAGTTGGAATCAAAACTAATATGATAAGATAAGATAAGATACTTCTTTATTAGTCCCACATCTGGGAAATGTGCAGTATAATATGAAGTAATAAGTAACATGCAATACTTAAGTGTAAGGAATATTAAAATAAAGAAATATATTTTCCTCCTTCATACGAGTAATTACACACATACACAATCTGTTGAAACTGCTCTGCCCATTTTCTACGAAATGAATTTACCATAGACAGACTTTGTTGAGATTGTCAGAAACAATAGTATTCTTATTATATGATCACAAGCAAAGGTGTTTTTGCACTGAGATACACTACATTGAGAAATGTTTCTACATTTTTTAGCTACATACCTCAATTTTAGAAACCTCTGTTAACATAATTAAGTCCAGTACAACACCATCAATGGAAAACATATAACTGAATGAACACCTCTCTGACAGCGTCTAATAAAACCCTGATCATCAGGAATCATTAAAGTTTACAAGGTTGTATTATATTGTAGCAGATTGTACAGATGTACCTAATAAAGTGGACAATGAAATTTTTGTTTAATCTGTACCAGCAGATTTTATTTTTAAAGTGATGGTGAACTTTAGGGAAAGTAAGAATAACAGTACATGAGTACACTCCAAAACTTTACATAAGTAGAACACTTAAGTAAATGTACAGCCCAATACTGTATGTTTAACAGAAGCAGACAGTGGCTTTAGTCACTTTATGGAGGTCATAAATCAAGCCCCTTTTATGTTTTATCAGCTGGTTACATCACTGATAAAGCTAATAAATGCAGGCTGATGTGTGCTGTGCTCGGAGCCCAGTCACTCAAGCGTGGGTGCTTTGTGTCATTTATGATGGGGTGACATTCTGGATTTAATGTCTATCTAAAATAAACACCATTAAAGGTTTTGATGGTGATGGTTGACTGGTCAGACAGGCGACATCCTCAGTTGTTTTCAGTTGGACCAACTACAACATTTATATTTGCCTTGATAAAGCTTGATACAACAGTGAAGTAAAAAAAGTGAAGGGAACCATCGGGGCAGCTATGCTCACAAGGTAGAGAGGGTCGTCCACTAATAAGAAGGTCCGTGGTTTGATTCCCAGCTCCTGCATTGCAATGTGCAAGATATTGAACCCAAAATTGCCCATGATGCTTGCCCTGTGTGATAGAAGAAGTGCTGAATGAATGTGTGTGTATGGGTGAATGTGACTTGTAAAGAGCTTTGAGTGGTTGATAAGCCTGAAAATCTCTACATTAGTACACTCCATTTACCATAAGCATCCTTCACAAGGACAAAATATGCTAATTTCAGTGGAGAGAATGTGGACTTAAATGCAGGAGCGAGGCAAGAGGCAGGTCCAATTAAAAAAAAACCATAGGAAACAAACAAAGCAACAAATCTGGATCAGGATCTTGAAGCTGAAAGAGACTGAACAGACAACTCGACAAAAACAGAACTGAGGAATTGACTTAAATAAAACTGAACTGAAACAGGAAACCCCAAACTAAAACAGATGCTTACATGTCTCACTGACATTTTTCCACCTCTGAGCCAGTAATGTTTGCTGTGGTTCAAGGACAATAATTAACTTGTATAGACAGAGCAGACAGGCCTATCCTATCACCGCCAACAATGTCCTTTCTACTTCCATCGTAAATGACGCTCTGTCATTTCTCCTCTTTTGACTCTTTAAAGCCCAGTGCACCTCATTTCCTCCTCCATCCTCTTCCTGCCTCCCTTGTCTCTGCAGAAGAAAAAGAGCCAGGTAGCAACACAGCCAATCAGAAGGCCAACAACGGCAAGGACGGCTGCAAGCCAAATGGCCACGCTGTTCGAGCAGTCAGGGTTGAGGGGCAGGGGCTTGCTGAGCGTCGTGGAGCTGTCGGATGTGGGAGCTGGAGGGATGGTTGGACTAGAGAAGCTGTTCTCCTTTGTGAAGATGTATGGATGCTCCTGAAAAACACAAGTGAATCATACACTTCCACTTCCATGGATTGTCAAATCAATCACAAGTGGGTCAACAGCAGCTTTCTTACCTTAGTGGGGCATTTGAGGTTATTTCTGGCATTTGTGAAATCGTTGTATGTCTGTTTTTTACCCACTGGCTCCAACTATAGTGGGGAAACAGAAATGTTTCAGTTCAGATCGTGACCTAAGTGCAGGGAGAGGTTGTAATTTAAACTGACTTCGTCCAAATCCTTCCTCTGTCCAACTCGATTACTTTACTGTCCATGTGGCCACACTCACCATGTTATTCCATAGAGCTGCAGCCATGCCAGCATGTCCCTGTTCACTGAAGTGGAAACAGTCCTCAGAGAAGTAGGTGTTATCAACTCTGCCATCCTGGAGAGGAAAAAATACAGAATCAGTGTTTGCAGGAAAAAGACTTATTTACTCTCCTAAATCTAAAATAGTCCTTACATTAAGGAAGGAGACAAGTAACTTACAGCATTCAAAGGAATGATAGAGTTTTGAAAAAAGGGCTGAACAACCACAGCAAAGTCCTCTCTGCCCTCATAGCGGCCTCCGTACACCACCTTTTCCGTCTCCATCTGGAAGGAAAAACACAAATACTGACGTTGCAACAAGCAACATAATGATGTCTCCTCAGATTGTCAGAGAGAAAAGAAAATCAGTCCTCGTCGTTCTTGTCAGCTCACCTGAATTTCCCGATTGATCCGTTGGACTTCAGCAAGCTCTAGAGAATCCTCTTCTGTTTGCAAGAAGCACGGGCATGCCATCCTGAGGAGAAGTGGAGATCAAGATCAATAAAAAGCTTAATAATCACTGCTTCTGATGCAATCAACTGTATATTATGATATCTGTGCAAGACCTAGTCCTTTATTGAGCATCATATTATTACATATTCCTGTTGTGACAAGTTATGACATCAATATTTAGACATCTGCCTCAGACACAGAGTATTTGGTTCAATGTGCAATTGATTTGGCATGAGTGGATCGACAAGCGTACGGTTGTATATAGTTGCACCCAAGACTGTCCCTTTTGACTCTGCGAAGGCCTTTGAGTTCCAAGATCTCCATGACATTGACTATCGTCCTGGGAACCTGCGGACAAAAGAAAGAACGATACGACTTTTACACTGTTTCAAAGAATTCAATTCAATTGATCCTTTTTGGGCATCAATGTTAAAGTTAACACTGCCTTTTTTCAGTGTAGGATCTCTGGTGGTATTTATGGCACAATCCGATTTACCTCTTTGTACAAAATGTCCAAGCTTGTCATCATGTGGTGGCTGTAGTTCTGAGGCGACAGAGAGGCCTGTAGGTTTGAGACACACAATGCACATTTATCAAATCACAGTCAATACATGTACACATAAAACTACTCATGCCTGTGATATACAGGGTGGCAGGGTGGGGCGGTACAGCGCTGTCACCCCACAGTAAGATGGTTTCCAGTTCGAATCCCTGTTCAGACAGGGGCTTTTCTGTGTGGCTGTTGCATGTTCTCTATGAGCTGTCACTATCACAATCTCAGAGCTCTTAGTCGTAAATTGGTGCTCTGCTTGATATTTTGTTGCAAATCCCAAACATTAAAGAGAGAGAAATCCCCATCAGAAATGGAGAGAAAGGAAATGGAGGCAAGACGAGAAAAGAGAATGGGAGCGAGGGAGAGAGAGAGAGAGAGAGAGAGAGAGACGGAGGGAGGGAGACAGGATGAAGAGAGTCTGGGTTGACTTCAGTGTTGTTTATGCCTCTCAGAGAACAAGGCCCGCCACTGTGGCCTCGTGTGCTTGTTTAATTCAGACAGAGGCCTGAGCTGGAGGAGGGGGTTGTTTTGTGTGAAGTGACAGAATGTGCTCATTGAGGAGAAACCACGTCTGCTCTCATCTCACTCTGACACGATAAAACAATTAGGGGGAGGGCTGCTCAAAAAAAGCTTGATTGTTCTGCTCCGGTGCTCGGGCTACGTTTCGGAGAGTGATATCATGAGACAGCTCCACACAGGACACGTTTAACCACTGAGGGGGGGAGAGACAGCTCTGACAAAAACGCCCCTGCGTCCATCGGCTCGTCCTGCATTTCCTGTGACGACTTCTTAAAGCAGCTCACCGGGTCGTGGCAGTACTGACACAGGTCATTGCCTCCGATGAAGAGGGTCACCAGCTTCCAGTCATTGTTGAAATCCACTGACTGTTTGCATTAAATGGATGGAGAGAGAATCGCAGAGACAGAGAGGGAACAAAGATTATTCACTTGTTTCTCTTGTGCATTTCTTTAACGTGAAACCAGTGCATGCGTTAGAAAATGTTAAACTCACAGAATCCTTTTTCAGAAGATCAACCAGATTTTGGACCTGCCCTGGGACTCCTCTGTAGAGAATCATAGACAGTCACGAGCGCACAAAACATTTGAGAGGGAACAATTTTAACCTGATAACAAATCAATACACTCACGATATTTTTGCCCCTGATACGGCCACATTGAAGCCAGTCTGTTTGCCATTTTCTCCCATTGACATTCCCTTGATTTGAGGATTGAACTTCTTTAGAATATCTGATGCAAATTAAAAATAAGAAGAGTGAATAACAATGCTAGCTGTGTTCCAGTCCACCTCTGTCATCTTGTGGTGCTACTGTGCATTACACTTTAATAAAGGTGCTATAGAAACCAAGGAGACTTACTGGGTAATGTTGTGACAGTCTCAAGAGTGTCGTCTCCTCCAATGCTTGTTAATGGAAAACATATAATGAATAAAAAATGTGCATGATGAAATGCACATGATTTTGCTGTTGCACAGTCTCTCACCTCCATGAAACTCCTTTGTACTCAGTTTTGAGCTGCATCAGATTCTTTGCCTTTGCACCAAAACCAGTCTACAAAAGAGATGCAGACATCATTTTCATCATCATCCTTTAATTGCTTTCCTACTGTTTCTCCCTCTGACTCATTAAATTGATAATGCACTCTCTGCTTATACATTTACATGATTAATCAAGTGGTATAATTGATCCAGCATTGATCCATCTCCACCGGCTTTATATGACATGTTGTGTTTTGTAGAAATAATGTACACAGCACAATGCACACAACTTAAAAGGCGCAACAAGAAATTATGTTTGTATTAGTTGCAAAATAATCCTCAGAGAATAAAAAATAGACTATAGCGATAAAAGTAAGTTGCATAAGCTCATAAAAAATGCAAACACACAAAACAGACACATGAAAACACAGTAATGTGCATCAGAGACTAACTTGGTGCACATGGTGCCTTTTCAAGTGTTTTTTAATGATTCTTCAGCATGACTATGGATTCAACATCTTAGATGCTACAGCCTCAAAATTTGCAATGGAAGACAAGTGAAAGGGGGAATAAAAGTAGCGGGATCTCACCGTTAGAGAGTCGCCCAGAGCGGCCACCACCTTGACGTCTGCTGGCCGTACCCTGTGAACTAACAGAGCATCAACGTGAGCACACGCTGCATCAAACCCTTGTCTCTCACTTCCTGTCACGGCTGAGTGACATCATGTGACTTTACCTGAAGAGGGCACAGAGTTGGACGGAGCCGTGTCGACACAGGAGAAGTCACTTCCCCAGTTCTACAGAACGACAGAGACGTGTTTTAGGCATTTGTAGTGGTAATGTATTGCTTGCCATCATGCACCAGCTCCATGGTTATTATGGTGGAAGTTTTCTGGAAGCTGGTGAGAGGAGAACTCAGGCAGCAGCTGACGTCTTATGCAAAAGAGTTTAATGTTGACTTGACTCATCAAGGAGACAAGAAGCTGGAACAATATACAAACGCTAACAGAGTAACATGAGCAAGTGTCACCCCCGAGTCTAGAACAAGATGGTTAGAAAGGCTTCTGCTGTCACTCTCGATGTTACACGTAGGGGTTCGCATCCAATCGGACAGTTAAGCCTAAAGCATGCATTCCTAAATCACGTTGTGTCTTCCCACTGGTGTTACACACAAAAGAATTGGAGTTGTTGCCGCTCTGTCTGGGGCATCTGAATTAGATATAGTTGTCCTTTTATCTTAAACCTGACCTTGGGTATTGCTTGGACAGAGAAGAGAGAACGTGTGGACTCTATTCTCCTACTGTACTGATGCAATGTGTGAGGACAGTCAAAAATTCCTTTATGACTTACATTAACAGGAGGAGGAGTGGGTGGAGGACCTGGGAAGGTGTAGTTGCTGTTGACTGCGGTCCTGAAGAATGGGCTGGTCTAATGAAGAAATTATAAAGATAAGAATGTGTATACATAAAATCCATTAGATACACATATTGTGTTGTTTCTGATCAAATGCTGCTGAAAGCCACGTTACCTCAGAGGGACACTTCAAATCGATGCAGTCTTTAAAGTCATGTGAAGAAGTCTTGTTTCCCACTGGCTCTAACTGAGGGATAATAAAAGTGGGAGATTTATTTTGAATCAGGGAGAAGAAACAGAATTCAAAATGCAAAGTAAGAAATGTCTTTTTGTGAAGTAAGTCACACCATGTTGTTCCAGAGAGCTCGAGCCATGACAGTGTGAGCTTTCTGGCTCAGGTGAAAACAGTCGGGGGCGAAATAAGAGCGATCAGGACTGCCATCCTTTAAAAAAAAAAGAAGGGATGAGATTTTTAAATATACTAAAATGAATGAAAACACAATTCTATATCATGTTTCAAGTTTGTCAGCTTTTACCTCTAAAGTGGGGATGGTTGTCTCTCTCAGCATGGGCTGCAGGACCACGGTGAAGTTGTTGTGTGTGTCGTAGCGACCAGTGTCAACCAGCTCTCTCATGACACGCTGCAAGGAAACACAGACAAAACAACATTTTTGTTTCTTTATTTACATGTAAATGATTTTATTCCACCTTGTTTTTCTGCTTTATTCAAAGTCTGACCTGCTCGAAACTACGTCAAGCCGGTGACTGTGAACGGTTTAGCAATTAAGATCAGATAAGCAACATCCTTAGTGTCTTTTGAATGTAATTTTTTGATTAAAAAAGATGTAAATTTAATTCATTCTCTATTGCTTTTTGAGCTGATTATCTATCTCTTGTTTCAATTGCTGCCTTTTCTAATTTCCAGTTTCTGCATTTCTCTTTTCTAGATACATTCAGTTTATTATTCTAAGTTAATTATTTTCTTGTCACATATATATGCAGTGTTTCTCCTTTTGCAGCACAAACGTTGCTCATCTGATGATGATTGATCAAGTTCAGAAGCAAAATCCAATGATAAAAGAAAAAATTTACAAACTGTATAGTCTCATTAAATCTAAAATCACTTTATCCCACTTAATTACTTGTTTTAGAACTTTGTTTAATTCAAAGTCTGTCCAGCAAATCACTGAAGTTTTAAAAATCTAATTCATTCAGTGTTTTCAGTCAGCAAATATGAATGAGATGCAGTGTGAAAGCTGCATATCAGCACTGTGAGCTGCTTTTCTCAGCTTGTCTTGACACATTTTTCTTTTTTTAATCAATATTTGTTTTGTCACTATAGAAATACCTGATATTCCCTACTGAAGTCATTGGCCTTCTGCAGTGCAGCGGACCCTTCTTTAGGTTTCATTATACAGGGACAAATATAACTGAAACACAAACATCAAAACTGTTCAGTGATGAGTTGCTCATGTTTTATTTTTGATCAAACTGTGTCTTACAAAACCAAAACTCACTAACCCTACAAACCAGGTGGGACAGCCCAGAGACTTATCACTGTTCAGATCACGCAGCGGCACAATGTGTAAGAGCTCCACCAGGTTAACAATGGCACGGGGCACCTGGGTAAGAACGAAACATAAAGTTCATAGTCTGTCTGTAGTTTATGATACTGAAATGCTCCTGTGAGAGTAAGATGGTGAAAACATATACTTCACTGTGCAGGATGTCCAGAGCCTGGCGGATACGATTGGCCACATTCCTGGGCGAGAAATAAACCTGTGGAGAGAAGCACAAACTGTGAATTTATTATTGATTCCAAATTAATCCCAAATCAGTCAACAACTATTGTGATAATGAATGAATCATTTGAGTAAGGTGGTAGATCAATACGAGCAATGCATCACATCTGACACAGTGTGGAGATGAATAAAAATGTCAAATTAATGAATAATGATAAAAGCCCAAAACTAATTGCACTTAATGTTTTGGATGATTAAAATAAAAATTGTTGAAATGTCAACAGATTGTGGATCAACATTTTTGTCCTCTGTGATAAATGTAATTTAATTCAACAATCATATATAAATTAGGAAAAGAAAATTAAAGTATGACAAAAGTCTTGATAAAATATAAGAGTGCTTACACTGTTTAAGCAGAAGTCACATATGTCATTGCCTCCAATAAACATAGTGATCACTTTCCAGTCATTAATGAAATCAATGCGCTGTAAAGATAATAGGTACAATTAGCAATCATGAAAATAAAACTGAGACAAAGTTCACCCAAGGTTCAACTGTTGTTCACCACAGCCTTACCGAATCGTTTTTCATTTTGTCCACCAAGATGTTCACCTGTTGCACCATATTACTAAGAACAGGATGAGAAAAGTGTGTATTCATTCTTCTGATGTGCTCATTATAAGTTCTGGTCAGGTTTTACTTGACAGGATTAAAAGAAAAGTGACCGACCTGCTCTTCCCTCCCGCCACAGCCTGGTTGAGGAAGGCCTTGGGATTGTACTGTTTACCTATTCCCTCTGAGAAGCCGGTCAGTGAGGGGTTAAACTCCCTCAGGATATCTGCAAAACCACAAACACAGACAAGCTTAGTGCCGCAGTTGGCTCATGGTTGTATAAAAATAAGTCAAATTTAATTTTTTTATTCCATTTAATTTGGTAAAATTACAGAAAATAAGTGAAACATACTTGGCAGAGTTGTTACCGTGGTGATGTTTTCATCCCCACCGATGCTGAAAGATGCAGAAACAGTTTTTTTACGTCACAGAATCACCAAATGAATTCCCACACTGTTAAAAATGTGACCCGGGTGAACTTTACATTATCTTACCTCCAGGACAGCCCCCTGTACTCATTAATCACTAACAGAAGGTTGTCTACCTTTGCTCCCACACCATTGGCTGCCTGCAGAGAGAGGTCACATACTGAGAGCATGAAAAAAACCTATCTATCTATCTATCTATCATCCATCCATCCATCTATCCATCCATGTTTGTACGCCTTTTATTATTAGGAGAATGAAAATACTCACTGTAATAGAATCACCCACCGCTGCCACCACCTTGATATCTCCAGGTCTGAGTTCATGCACTGCACAGGAAGTAAATATATAAGTATATATTATATATTTCCATATACATGAATCAGCAGAATAAAGAATAAGAGCAAAAGATATTCTCTACCTGAAGTTGGTGTGGTGGGAGATGGACTGCGGTCTGTGCAGGGTATCTCTGTCCCCATAACCTGAGAGCAGTTTGCCGTCCTGCTTCTGTAGAGCTGCCGCTGAATTTCAAGACTTCTAGGGTCTGTTAGTGAGGAGGCTTTGTTGTTGAGTGTCGTTACTCTGTCAGAGCGGGAATTGGTCTGTGTCCTCAGGAAAGGTCGTTCCTGAGACGAGAGTGGAAAAGAAAGTGAGACAATAGTTCTTGAATCTTATTTTATTATTATTTATAAGTTTCTTTAGGACACGTTTTGGATCAAAGGCTGGAAACAAACCACAGTAACAGCTGACTGAAAACAGTGTTTAGCAATGGCGGGCCTTACCTGGGTGGGGCAAGGAATAGCGATGACACCTTTGGTCATTGGCTGCAGCTGGAGGAGGAAACGTGACGATTGGTTAAGACTTTTAGGTTCAGGTGGGGCCATCCTGTTTAGCCAATAACCACAGAGCGCCTAATAGTGCTGATTACACAACTCGTGTTTATAATGCTCAGTGAACAATGAACGGAGAAAGACATCATTTAGATAATCCCACCAAGTTAATCTTTACATCTCTTATCTACTCCCAGGTCAGAGCAACAAGCGTTTACTGTAGTAATTGTTCCATCGCACTTTTGTTGGGAGGGATCATAGAGACTTGTTTCATTTTACAACTCAGACGCAGGGTCGATGTCGCTGTCAGATCAAAGTAAAGATCAACGTCGAAGATTTTCAACATTCTGCTTTGTCATTCTGCACGTTTTAATTTGCCATTCGTTACTTTGGATTTTAGGAATTTACCATGTTTGTCCAAAGCTGAATAGCAAGTTGGTTTATGTCAGAGCCCATGTTGTCCTGCAAAGAAACACAAGACATGTGCTCGTTACACATGAGCCATTTCAAGGGAAGCTTTGTTTACCATATAGTTATCTTATTGTTATGGCATCTTGAAATATATTTCCTTTACTTACAGAATCTGAGCGGGGTTCGAGGATGACTGGGGCAGACTGTTGCATGACAGAGAAGTCTGACCTGTTGCTGTGCCACCTTGGATTTTCAAAAACACCACTTAGAGAATCCTGAATACACATAAGGCGGATAATTCATAATTGTTATGATAACTTTATTTATATGGCACCTTTCAAAGCAGTCATTATAAAGTGCTTCACAGAAAGAACAAATACAAAACCAGAGAATACAACAATCTAAGACAATAAGAAAAAGATATTATTTAAATCAAAAAACTGAAAATACTATACAAGACTTGAACATGAGCCAGAAGCAAAAGTTTCTACCTGCAGCGTTTTTAGAAGAATTGCTTTCTGTAGCCGTTGGTTTATGCTTTCATCTTTCAAACAGTCACAACTGCAACACAAAAAGGGAAAAACACATCTGACATCTTTTACAAAGAGCAAGATCATTACTCTATAGATACAGATCATTTCTTTTTATTTCAAAATAAAAGTTATTTCTTACTTGTCCTGCTGGTGATACGTGCTCCACACTGTGACATGGATTAATGCATGATGCAGCTGTAAACATGCACCAAGCATGTTAGTTATTTATTCACAGCAAAATTCTGGTAAACAAAACGCTACCATACCTTTTCTTGCAAGTTCCGCAGAGCTGCCTCCACATCCCGAACAACAGCTTCAACATCCGCAGCAACCTGAGGCAAGAAAGAACAGTCGCATCATGTTATCGTCCATCTATACATCCATTCGCCATACTGCATTAGGTCAAATAACATGATTTTGTATGAAAGAAGGAATCTTACATGTGGTGAGCAGGCACACAAGGAATCTGCCGAGACAAACAGCAGAACAAACTTCCAGCCTGAGACCTGCAACAAAATATGAAGGACAAATATTATATTTCAATAATGTATAAGATGTTTAAAAAGAGCAAAAGTGAGCAAACTCTATCCACTGTCAGACGTTGATAAATGTCTAAAGATTAATTTGTCAAACAGAATATACTGTTCATTACAATTACCATGGAACTGGTTTTCTGTCACCATGAACTTTAATTTGTTTAAAGATGATAAAGAAACAGTTTTAGATGCATATTAATAATTATCCAGGTTCTAGCTGAGACTTAAGAGGATTGCTACTACATGCATGTGTATGGAGGAAGTCTGGTTTGGCCAAAATAAGGACAGACATACTGGTGTTAGTTCATCTCGAATAGAAGAAATACAAGTTTTAAATATAAGAGTCTTGTTAATGTTGCTTGTCCTCCCAAATACAGAATCTGGTCCAAGTATAATTTATTCATATTGTTTTATTCTAATATTTAAGGAGAGTAAACAGAATTCTCTGTAATGTCTACAAAACATTAAACTTTGTTCTGAGAGAGTTAATGTGCACCTGATGTGACAGGGACTGAGACAGTTCTTCCGCTTCCTTCAACAAACTCCTGCAACACAAACACTCTCATATAATAAACAGCATTAAGATGTGTGACCGTTCATCTGTGTGGGATGTGTCTATTACCTGGGTTGCAATGAGTCCTGACCCACGTGATGAGGGATCATTTCAGGGGTAAACATGGAGAGCAACTCTATAAAAGTCACAGACAGTTGTAAAGTAAAGCTACGGTGTGTTTCATCCCTTACAGTACATTCAGACTGAGGATTATGTACAGTGTGATATGTACAGTGTGAGGTAAAATACTTTCATCAGTTCATCACCCGCGTTTACAGCCCTGGTCTTATCCTGAACGATAAACTCGACTAAACTGTCAGATTATTGTTCCCTTGCTTGTTCATCAAAGTGTGCTCTGTATCTGGAGCTTTCTGTGACACGCTCTTGACTTTTAGCTCAAATCCACTCAAAGGTTAATGAGTGACAGAGAAGGATTATTGTGGTTAACTGACACAAAATCCAAGACCAGGACACTAACATGTACTTATTCATTTATTTATTTATATCCATGTACCTGTCATTGTAAAAATGGTAAAATACTTTGTTGAGTCCTCTTGTTATTTTAGATGATTATGTACTTTTGTTTTTCCACTAGTTTGTACAAATACTCAGTGGTGAGAGAGCGCAGTGGGACTTACCAGTTATTCTACTGACCAGGATGGATGCCTCGTGCCTAATTATGAAGACATACACATCTTTAGATACACAATTAAAATATCTCTTAAAAAAGTTTATTGATGTGTCTGCTCTCAGCTCTTACCTGTGAAACAGCGGCACGCCCAACGTGTAAACAGCTGAGATATCGGCAGGTCTGAGAGCGTCGACTGACGGTGAGAAAACAAGTGAATTAAAGCAAAGTTAGGGAACAACACTGCAAAATGAATTTAGATAATTTGGCTTGAATTGAGGGAACTGATCGTGATGTGCTGTCACAGAAATCAATCAAAAGGAAACACCAACCTGAGGAGGATGGAGACGAGGGTCCAGGAGTTGGTGAGCAAAGTACTGACATGTAACTTTCTGCCTGTGACATAAATATGAAAACTCAGACTATTAGTCAGTGTGTGTGAAAAGCAGATAACACTAAAACATGACGGACAGCACCGTACCATCTCTGTGTTTGACTTTTTCGTTGGCTGGTCATTTTCTCCAGCAAGGTAAACAGCATCTACATGTGACATAGGAAACAAATACAGTGAAAAATATAATACCCAAAGGTCATGCAGTAAAAATTCCCTCTTCTCATCTTGCACTCTTCTTAAAATAATGATGTAGTGAATAAAATGATTAACTTTATTGCACACAACTCATTTCCTTTGTTGAACCACGCCTGGGATCACGTTTCTTTACTTTGCTTCAAGGTTATAACTGATTTGATGAGAATTACCTGACATTACAGCCACTCATTGCTTGTATCATAATCCTGCGTAATAAACTGTGGTGTAATAAACTTTCTGTGTGGTTTAGTCTTTTTGCATTTGATGCCCAAAGTCCTTTCTGCACATTTATACGTAGCGGAGACAAACTTTAACTTTCGTGCGAGTGTTTGTGTTGCAGGAGTTTGTTGAAGGAAGCGGACGAACTGTCTCAGTCCCCGTCACATCAGGTGCACATTAACCCTCTCAGAACAAAGTTTAATGTTTTGTAGAAATTGCAGAGAATTCTGTTTACTCTCCGTGCATTATTGAAAGATAATATTTGTCCTTCATATTTTGTTGCAGGTCTCAGGCTGGAAGATTGTGCACACCACTGTGCACACCATCAGAAAACACATGTATCTTACACAGGTAACACTTTAGGTCACTGTTTAACGTTTATAAGCAGTATATAAACATTTAATGATCTGCTGATTACACATTAAAATGCCATTTTGAGTGCTTATAGTTGGAAACAACTACAACTCATCCACCCATAAGTGGAAACTGGTTTATTAGCAGATATTGAATTCTAATATAGTGAAGCACACATTGTTATATAATGTATGTCTTGAAATAATACGTTACAATTGCTAATCAATTCTGTGCACTAATGAACATACAATTATATTATACTGCTTATAAATGCTAAAATCAAAGGTTACCCTACGCTCAAACTCTGAAATGCATGAGTTAGACAGCTTCTGCAATGATTACTGTGTAAACTCGTCTAACTCGTGATGCAGAATAACTTACAATATGTGAACATGACCACAACAACCCTACATAAAAAGAGAAAGTGGCTGTGCTTTATCTTTCTCCCCAAACAACCCCAAAGAAATGTATGGTGAAAACTTCAAAAAATTCAGATTCCTCCAATCTGCAACGTGTAATTCAGTTCATTCAATATGTAAACATAACTTTAAATGTGTACAATTATTGCCTGTTCTTTACCTGTAAACTGAGCCCAGGATCCAACAAGGGCTGCCAGGATCAGGAGCGCACATCTCGTCATCATGATGTAAGCAGAATATTCAGCACCTTCCGCACTGAGGGGGTTTGTGCCGCGTCCTCCTCTTCTCTTCCACTCTCACCGACTGTAAAAGTGCCTGTGTAGAGTGTGGAGAAGAGAGAGTGTGTTCCTGAGAGGGTAGGATGAGGAAAACCACTCTTCGTGCACACTCTTTTATTCTCAGTCATATCTTCCCTTTATCAGTTTATCTGGATAGCAATCGAGCAGATTACAGGTCATTCCTCCCTCTACGTATCTATGAATTGTTTGTCAGTGTGAGGCTGAGTCACCTGCAGTTCATCCACTAGATCTAAAGAATATTCTCATGTTTGTAAACTGACCAACATGAGACCGTGCTTTTAAAACTTGTATCCAATGTGAAGTAGTTTCTATAGGTTTTCTGTTTTAAATGTATCCAATGTATGATCCTAATTGAAAAACAATGTAACTCCCTGGTATCAGGGACCAATAATCAATCTGTAAATCAATCTCAATTTAACAATATCAATATGCAACATTAATATTTATAAAATGAACAGTGCACGCACTCTGTGGCTGAAAGCAGGCAGGGGCCGGTATCTCGTGGCGATGAGCAGGTTTTCTTTGGAGGGACTTGAAGAGGTTCTCTTAGTTACACCAGCGCACACGGAAGAAGGACAGAGATGCAGGGCCGGCTCTGTTCTATTACCTGCGTGCTGCCACAGGCACCTCCTGGGGGGGTCACGGGGGGCCTGTTTGCTCTCAGCCAGAGGCCAGAGCCTGAATTTAAACCATAGACTGTATTTTAAAAGTTCAGTTCTCTGACATTTACTCTTTTTCTGACATTATTAGTCGCTGGAGATGCATTTTACACTTTTACTGTTGGTTTGTTCTAATTAGCTTTGAGTTCATCATGCTTAAGGTTGATTCTGATTCTTAAGGTTGAACTGTCAAACCTGAAGTTCACTTTTACTTTAAGAGTAAAGTCCAAAGCCTGGAGGCCAGGAGCCATTATTCATCACAGTTCCTGTAGCAGCTCATTCTGTTCCGATGTCTCTTCATGTGCTGCAGATTAGAACACAGTGTTAAAGATTGTGCTAATATTACAACTCATTACTTCTCTGAAATATAATTTGGACATGTGCACCACTGCTTTTCATTTACACATTATGAATTTACCAGATGATGAAGCTAAGGGTGTGGTCAGTAGGTGGGCGTGTTTACACTCCCCGGAGGTTGAGAGGTCAGAAATCAGCGCTAGACTCAGAGCAAACGTCAATCAATCAATCAATCAATCAATTAATCCATCAATCAACAACTTAATCAATCAATCAATCAATCAACCACTCAATCAACCAACCAATCAATCATTTAATCAACTTCTCAATCAACTTCTCAATCAATCAATCAATCAATCAATCAATTAATCCATCAATCAACAACTTAATCAATCAATCAATCAATCAACCACTCAATCAACCAACCAATCAATCCATCAATCAACCACTCATCAATCAATCAATTATATTTAATTTGTATAGCCCTTATTCACATATCACAATTTGTCTCATAGTTCTTAACAAGGTGTGACATCCTCTGTCAACAAGAGTAAGGAAGAACCTATGTTAAAGTTGAGTAGATTTACATTCATACAACAAACAAAGGAACAAACAGCCTCTTTGTTTGTTGTTCCAGAAGAGCAAGCCTTAGAGGGATAGTTCACAAGAGTAAGAAACTTAAAATGCCTCCATACTGCTTGCGATGTGTCATCCAAGTGTCGGTAAGCCCCAACACGTTCATGTGTGAAGCACAGACGACTTTAAGGCTAAAAACAAAGTGTAAATGAAACTGTTTAGAGTCAAATTTGAATGTCGGGATTTAAGAACACTTAATTGACACCACAGGAACAGTGTGGAGGCATTTTAAGTTTTTTACAGTTTGAGAAATTGGTCACCATTTACTTCAATTGTATTGGATTTGGATGAGCACTTCAGCATAGGCTGAAGCTACATCCACTTTTATATACAGTCTATGATCAAAGCACAATAATAATAATATTGAAACAATATATGTGTAATTATACAATTTCATATAAATCATGTTTAAATAGGTTCCTCTCTGATTTAGAGCTGTGCTAGGGCCTCACTGAGCAGCAGACAGTTCCTGTGATGACAAACGTAACCAGGCACCAGGGGTTTCATAAAAATGTTATGTAATAATATGTTAACAACCAGCCATGTAGCAAAACTGTTCATGTTCAGTTTTGGAGATCAGATGTGATTAGATTGTTAAACACTTTATGAGTTTGTCCTCAGATTGGCTTTGCAGATAGCGCGACCCTTGGAATTGAACGAGAGTAAAACAACAAGTTATCTTGATGTTATCAGATTTTGTTTATGTCTTTTTTTTTATGGTTTATAACATTTTGATATGTTGCAACAAAACAAGTGCATCCATCTAAATGCAGCAATCAGCTTAGAATGAGTCAGATCACTTGATCATTCCACACTAAACTCTGCAGATCTGAATTCTTCCTCCATCTTCATTTAATCAACAACACGGCAAACAACACAATAATTCCAATTTAAAGTAAAATTAGTTCACCGAAAAATGAAAATTCACTCATTATCCACTCACCACTGTGGCGATGGAGGGAGGGATGAAGTGTTTGAGTCCACAAAACACTTTAATCGACTCAATCCACCAGGGTTTTGACCTGAAAATGACTTAGAGTCAAGTCAAATTTGAATGTTGGGGCTTATATTGGAAATACTCTGCATACTGTAAACACTTGCACATTGTACTTACTCAGGTGTACTGCTCTTCTTATTTTTTCCTTTTTACCTTCAAAAACATACTGTGTATATATTTTTATATTTATATTGTTAAATTTTAATCCTTGATTTTATTAGCTTCTTATATTTAGAGATGTCTGACATGCACCAACAACACCAAAGCAAATTCCATGTATGTGTAAACTTACTCGGCAATAAAAGCTTTTCTGATTCTGATTCGGACACTCGGATGAAACCACAGGAGCAGTATGGAGGCGTTCTTATATATTTGTTCTGTTGTTTATTTACGTTTTCTGAATTGGTCACCGTTTACTTCAATTGTATTAGTTTTTGGCTGCAACCCTGTTTACCCCTGAGCCTCCATAAGAGTTTTGTGGACTCAAACACTTCACCCACCCCTCCATCCCCACTGTGGTGAGTGGATAATGAGTGAATTTTTCATTTTTGGGGTGAAGCATCCCTTTAACTGCAGTTGCACCATTTTACTTTCGTGTCACCTCCGTCTCCATCAGCTGATGTTCGATTCCTTCACCTGCATTTAAACCATAGACTGTATATAAAGAGATTTAAACACACTCACGGTTCACCTGTGTATTTTGTCCACGTGCAGGATCCGCTCGGCTCTGCTGCCCCCTGGCGGAGCTGCGCCGGCGGGACGTCCTCCTGACCGGATGTTGATAGTAGCTCGCGCAGCTCAGACAGGAACAGCTGGAGAAGAACAACAAAGACTCGACGACGACACAAACTGCAGATGTTCGTCTGACACGCGCCTCGTTCGTCCGTGACACCGACGCTGCCGGAGACATTTTGCGCCGCTGACTCCGACCTGACCGGTAAGAACCGTCCGCGGCAGCGAACGTGTTGTTTTACTCCCTCGCTCCTAGCTTGTTTTCATTAGCACTGCTAGCTCAGAGGCTAACTCAACGTTAGCTTCTTCTCGCTGGATAACTGAAGAAGCTAACTACGCTAAACCACGACGAAGACCAGCCGACGTCCTCCATCTTCTCCCCCCTGTTAGAAAGAGCTCACGGACAGTTTGGACACAGCCTCTCTGTGTTGTTGAACAAGTCGTCATGGCAGCTTTGAAAATAAAAGCTGCCATGTTCAGTCCACAGGACTCCGGACACAGCACAGTCTGGAACACGAAGTTCTTGTGTCAGTAGCAACAAAAACAATACGTCAACACGATAATAATGAAATGATCGAGTCAGCTCACAAGGTTTATTTATTTAAATTGAAGCTTCTAAGTTATATTTTTGTTCAGTTCAGTTAAATTTGAGACGTTGAGCTGATTTACTTCAGTTCACTGGTGACAAACGGTTAAAAATTATGAAATGACCAAAGTAATCATTGAGTCTCTGTTTAATATCACATATAATATTACAAGTTATCTTATTTGTTTGTACTGTCATTGTTTATACTGTCGTTTTTCTTAATTTACTCTATTTAATGTTGTTGTCTTGGTCTGTGTATATTTCTCTTGATGGATAGAGGGAGTGCACTTACAACCCAATCATTCAATCATGATTCTGATATCATCCAATCAATTAATTACACTTTATTTCTATTCTTGTCTTTCCAATCAGTAGTTTACAGAATAAAAGTAAAGATAGAAAATGCAAATTAAAGCCCTGCTGTCCTAAAGAAAATGAAATTGCTGAGAGAATTGGAGATAAAGAAGGGAAGAGTAACCAAATCAACTTATTTTGTTGTGGTTCTTCAAACAAAGTCTATATGCCTACTCAACTCTAGATGTATTATGGGCTGGATAACTTGATAGTCTTCATAGACACAATAATCCAATGTGAAGCCGTCCTGCCCATTGATTTATCCACAGTAACCTCATAAACATGGTCATGTTAGAGGAGTGGCTGCTTTGTTTTGAAAAAACCTCTCACAGAACACATTTGCATGGCTCGCAGTGGATACTAGCATGTTGCTCAGCTCCATTTATGTGTAACTTCTGTTTTTAGTCCAGCTTCCAACAAAAAACGTTTGTCCTTCTGTCCCCCCCCCACATTAGTTGTAGTTCAGTCATTTCCCAGAGATCTGACAATGGGGCGTATCTTCTTGGACCACATTGGCGGAACACGCCTCTTCTCCTGTGCCAACTGTGACACCATCCTGACTAATCGCTCTGAGCTCATCTCGACGCGTTTCACAGGAGCCACAGGCAGAGCCTTCCTCTTCAATAAGGTACAGTGAAACGCATGAAGAGAGGAGGATCATACACCCAGGATACAAACATTCAGTATTTCATTCCTGGCTTGAAAACCAATGTGTGTGCTCGTGTCTCAAAACCCTGCAGGTGGTGAACCTGCAGTACAGCGAGGTCCAGGACAGGGTGATGCTCACTGGCCGGCACATGGTGAGGGATGTCAGCTGCAAGAACTGCAACAGCAAGCTGGGCTGGATCTACGAGTTTGCGACCGAGGACAGTCAGAGGTACAAGGAGGGACGCGTCATCCTGGAGCGGGCGCTGGTTCGGGAGAGCGAGGGCTTTGAGGAGCACGTCCCCTCAGACAACTCATGAGCCTCTAAAGTTGGATCAACTTGAAGGCTCACTCCTGTGCACTGCTTCCCCTCTCCTCCACCCCTCTGTGCTGCATGGCGCCACCTGCAGACTTAGTGCTCAGTGAAGTGATGGCTGACAACTCCTCCTTCCCCTCCACCCCCTCCCTGTCTCTAGCCTAAGACCCTAGACCTCTGCTGATTAGAAAATTGGCTTTGCTGGATCTGTTCTTGCTGAATAGGCTTCTCCCAATAAATACTCCCTGATAAATGTGTCACAGGGTACACCCACCACCCCACACCCCTCCAGAACAGCAGGAGTTGTTGTAACTTCACTCGTTTACCTCTTCATGCACGGTCACACAGTCTCATCATCGCTGCACACAGCATGCTTCACACTTTGTTGGTAAAATAGTTGAATACATGCACGATAATAGACATCGTCAGTCACTGAAAAACATCCACTGGTTGTTTTGTTTACTTAGATAACTGGAGGCGTGTTCATCATTCTCACACGGGCAAAGCAACCAGCCCGGTTCTACACTGCAACGTTAACCAAACCACATTTCTTTATTGGGGCTTGTCCTTCTGTGTCGTGAACTTGGTCTCTCTGTATCCGTCATTGGTGAGCCCCGCACACAGTGAAGAGTTAGTTGTATTTTCAGTTACCTATTTTATTAGCCTGTATTGTACTGAATGTAAAAGTGTTTCAAATTTCTGTTCTCATCCAAACGATACAGCACAGATTGATGTCATGTTTAAGTATTCGTTGTAGTGTTTGATGATGATGATGATGATGATGATGATGATGGGCAGGTTTCGCATGATGAATCATTGTTTCGATTGACGTGATATTTTTGGGGATGGACACAAAGTGGCTTTAAAATGTCCCTGTTCTTGCAGTTCCTGGTGTGGAAGTGAGCCCCCGCTGCACGATAGAAAATCATAGAATTAATCCTGTACAGAGTTCAACCAATCGGCATCTGTTACTATGGATTCTGTCCCATGTGAAGTGTGTCTCTAGGGTGTCAGCGCAGGAATGTGTCTGAGGCGTGATGAGATGTTGTCTGGCCTCCTGCTGGGTTACGGACAGGATTATGAGAGGATGGGTCACACAAGCGTTTTGAAACGAGCTGGGTGAGGAGCTAATGAGGCCTCAGGAGTAACACAATAGAGGTTTAACAAAGAGCCTATTCTGTAACACAACGCAGTTTTTTAAATGACAACAAACCTAAAACCTCCTTTATCATCCTGAATTTAGGGCACATTTGGTTCCATGACAACTTGTTCCTTACAATGTAGAGCTTTAATGGAGTAAGTCTTTAAAATCAAACCTGTGCCCCTATTTTACACCTTCCATGCCCTGTGAAGATTTCAAAATGTCACACTGAGGGAAAAAAAAGATCTCAGTTTTCCTGACATTTGAGATTATTTTTGGAACCGTGTTCGCAGCGCTCCATCATGACCCTGGTATAACATTGTGCCATTTGAGATGTGGTGAATGCCTGCAGGCGTTACCAGAATGGAACAGCCTTCACAAGTGATGCTGTTAATGCTTCGCTTCGCCTTTGCAAGGTCATGTGAGAGGGTGCACGTGTCATTTCTACACAAAAACACAGAGAGGAAGCTGACACCATCCGTATCAGCAAGTCATAAGTGCAGTGTACAGTCAATGGCCATGACAGAATCTAGTTATCATTCATCCACTTTTAGCAATTGATTTTATTTGATTTACTCTTTGTTATTATTTTATTGACTGATGCATTTATCTTATTGTATATTTTTCCTGATTGGAGGTTAAAGGAAATTGTTTTCTTGTATTGCTACAGCAGGATTTTCTCTGGTGTGATTTCTAAATAAAGATGCAGTCTTGCTGGGTTCAATTCATCACGTTTGTGCTTGTTTTGTAACTTTCTACACATTTTAACCGTAAGTATTATCCATTGTCAAATCATATACTTCGCCCGACAAGAAATTTGTGCTCAAGGTAAATCAGATTTATAAGCTTCGTGTTTGGCCTGTGGGTGGCGGCAGAATACTGAGGAACAGGATGATCTCTGTGGACGTTTTCCCATGGAAGCATGATGCTGAGTCCCTCGCCTGCCTCTGACGTTAGCTCGCCTCACATGGTTTGTGGAGCATCACTGCAGGATTGAAATAGAAGGATGTTACTGAATGAAAATGAATGAAATCTGTTGGATTATATAAAGTCAAATAAATGCCCTGTTAAGGAAAAAAAAAGTGCATGAGTAGTGAGGGAGAAAATGTGAAACATTTGCTACCAATAACACATCACATCCAGACTGTAATCCAGTTTAATCCCACCTACTCTGCACTCACTCTGAATCACCCACGATGCAGAGGTTTGACTGCATTTTGGTTTATAAATAGGCAATGACGTTTCAGCCCTAATCCACCCACTAATATTGCAGTGCTGCCACCGAGTTATTTATAGCCGTGATCCTGTTGGAAGGCCTCTTTGTTGGTGTGTCTGTGTCACAGCGGTGGGATCAACAACAGGTCTGCTTCTCTGCAGTCACTGCTGCAGGCGCCCTGCACCGAGCTCGCAGTACTAAACTTAGCTCACACAAATATTAATTAAGGTCATTGAACAAAATAAACTGTCCCGAGTTATTTTTGAAACCGACAGCAGTTGCTTTTCTTTTCCTTTCTTTTAAAGGATTAATGGATTGAGAAGACTGATGTTTTTATGAGCATATCCAGTGCCATTTAAATGCCGGACATGACTAGAGGCAAAAAGGAGGTTCCATCTTGAGAGAACTGACTGTCCTGCTTTATAATTCATAGTAGTCTTGGACTTCGTCCCTGCATAACCTCAGGGTTGTCTGCTGTCTTTATTGAAAAAGCCATCTGGCCAGATAAGGATAATTACACCATCCTGTTGATCCTATTAGTGTGTATGCAATTGGAAAGACACGGCACAAATCTGGATGTGGCAGTCTTTTGTGTGTGTTTACAAGGAGAGCTATTTTTCCACTACCCTTCACATCCAGTCCTCTTGGGACAATCAGATTCTCTTAAGACTTAAATCTCCAGCCCTTCTATGCAACTAGATACTAAACCAGTCTTTTAGAAACAAATCCAACAACAGGAGTACAACATGAACTAGTGGAACGATGCCGTCATCTGTCTTCCTTCCACCCACTGTCAGACCCATCAGAGCAAATTTGAAGTTATGTTTATTCAGATGCAGTGGATTATTTTGAATAGAGACCAAAAAAAAGAACTGGGAGCATAATTGTGCCCTTAATTGGCCCATGATTCATCACCATCCCCAGTTATTTTAGTTCACCGTCACCTTTTTGTCCTTCCACGTGATATCACCATCACACCCCCACCCCCCCTACCCCTCCAGGAGAGGAGCAGCAATATATAGAATGTAGAAATAAACTTCTCTCATTCCCCTCCACTCTCTCTTCACACTCACACACAAAGGAGTGACATCATTCTGTCAGTGGGAGAAAATAGCATGCTTTCCATTGACATCACTCCACATCCCGTTGCTAGGCGACAGGGGAGTCAACATTAGTTACTATGGCGACTGCACTTCACCTTCAAAGCTCCTGACCTTTTTCGTTGTCCGTGGCAGACAAGACCATTTTTGTATGTGTGCACGCAAAACAGGCAAGGACAACTACAGCCCTTAGTGTTGTGTAACATGAGCCTTCACGATATCGACTCAGCTGCTGCAGCGTAGCGTTGATACAGCAGATTTAAGCAGTGACGAGAGAATGCATGAGATGATTTGGCAGCAGCTAAGAGACCCATTGTCAAACTTCTTTATAATGTAGTGACACCACACTATAATGTATCCAACAGGGGTTCTCAAAGGTCCTTGAGGGGGTTCCAGGAGGGTCCCAGGCAGAAAGGGAATTTTTTATTTATTTTTCACTGTAATTTCATTCTGTAAAATATGGTAAAAATCTTGTTTGAGAAACACTGGAGCATAACACACAGATGACACCACAACCTAATGACCATTAACTTATTTACCCAAAAGATCAGGTGAGTTGTCATGCAGTATTCAACATTTCCAAAAACCTTGAAAGAACAACATCTGGAAATCTAACTGAATTGATACAGTATATTTATTCAGATATATACATGTATATATATATTTCTTCCTTTTAGAGACGGACTGACAACAGTGTCCACTGTGTGTACCTGAGGACAGTGACTTTAATGAGGTCCAGCATCAGCAAGTGATTGTAAAATGAGCAACACTAAACAGCACAGGTGAACAGGTAACTCACTTTCTAGCTGAACTTGTTAAAGATATATGGACAGAGAACTGTGTTTGGTAAACTACAACACACTGCTGTAAAAAGTGTTAACAGCTGATCACAGTGACTGAAACCAGCCCCTTCACATGAACTACAGGAGCTTCAGATTCACATAAAACAGGAAAGATGCTTCAGTCACCTTCTAAATAGTGCAGTCGATCATGAAAGACGTTTATATAACAAACTAGGTTGAAGTGGTGCGCTACATCACAAACCGCACAGTGTTGGTGAAACTGCTAAAGGTCGTCAGAGACGCAAATGTTCCCCGACTCAGAGAATTAACGTGTTTTGAGACGGCATCGAGCTCAGTGGCAGCGGGAGTCAGTGGCTAAAAGTGTGGTGGAAGCACCGCTTGAATCTTGTTTCAATTTCTGTCCTTTTTTGGCACAATTGGGAGTCGCTTTCTCAGCTGTCACTCGCTAATTGAGTTTAGCAGGCGCATCAATGCCAGTCCTCTAGAGAGTGACAAAGGCAGAGGTGGGCATTACAGGGCTTTTTTGGATTAGGATGAGTTCAGGGCCAGTTTTCCACTCCAAGTCTGGTCCTCTGTCCCACCCTGCACATCGAAGGGTAATGTTGTCCCAACAGGGCATTCTTCCACCCCAGCACCACCCACCCGTCCTGCCACTGCACGGCATCCCTTCAATCCTAGAAAGGGCACAAAGTTCTACACGTATGCAGACGTAACATCTCAGTCAGATGTTTGATCTTGATGAGTCGCTGATTACAAGCGTGGACTCAGTGTCTGTGGTGATTGAAGCTACACTCTCTCCTACTACATTCTGTTTGGTACTGTTTTACATCACATCTGCTTCTCTCCCCTTTGGCTTTTATGCGCAAAGCTAAACATCACAAGTTATTTCTTATGAGCATGTGGGAAATTTCATTCCCCAATTTGTATAAAAGGGCAATTATACCCAATAAAGGTAAACAGTAGTACATATATACCTGTATACACCTTGATAATTCTCTAGGAATTGTACCCGCAATATGACGGATTCATTCAATTAGTTTCACCATACTCCCACTAACTACAGTGCTAATTTGAATATTGGTTAATCAAGTCATCACATGTACATTTGAACTGTACTATGGCTCTGTTCCATATTTTATGACACTGATATAAAACCGAGGGCAACACAGGATACAGTAAATAAAAAACAGCTTTGAGGACATGGCAATAGTATAAAAAAATGCTAAACAATATTCCCAGACACAGATCAACACTGAGGTTCTTAAACACCAACAACAAAAGAACAGATAAAATGCACAGACAGCAAGCGAATCAACTGTGATTGTACAGGAAGAGAATTACAGGGCAGGTGACGCCATGTATGATGAATTTCTTGAACCCAAATTTACATAACATTCCTCTTTTTTTCCTTCAACAGAAAGTTAAGATCTTTCCACTGAAGCCATGCATACTGCAGGGGAGCACTTAATACTCCCTGTCTAAGGCATGGAGTTCTGGCTCTCTCTAAGGGATCTACTAGCCCTTTGGACTGAACACCGAGACAATGGAGTCATCAGCGTCCTTGCCGAGCACATGCCATTGACCAGTCAATCCTGTCTTCCATCCTCACTGCATCTTCTCATCCATCTTCTTTTTCTTGTCACCCACATCAGCAGCCATGGACTTCCAGTATCGATGGCAGGCCAACTCCAGCAGCTCCAGCCCTCCAACCAGCTTCTGCTGGGTCATATACACTCCAACCATGACCAGGCAATAGAGCCTGAATGGAGCCCACAGCCACAGGCCAGTGAAGCACAGAGCGATGAAGCAGGTCCAGTACAGAAGAGAGGCGGCTTTGATCAGAGCCACGCGCATCTCCGTCTTACAGGGCGGCACACGTGCGACACCTTCTCTGTCGAAGGCCCGGGGCTGGCCTGAGTAGAAGTCGCGCAGACGGACCTCCTTCTCAGCCCAGCGCTCTCTGCACCAGGATTCTAGTTCTGACGAGGAGGGCAGCGAAGCCACTGGGTAGCGGCGGACGTGGAAGTGGATCTCTCGGGGGAAAAGCCCCAGGATGAGGTGTCGTTCTGTCTGAGGGATGTTCTTGGGATAGGCCACTGTGATGTCATGAACGGCATCCAGATTGTCTCCTAGGAAAAGGGACACAATTTCTTAAGTTAAGTTCTAAAAGAAAAGCAGAACATGATTTTGACTTCATGACTTCCGACTTAATGTGAACTGTGTAGTTCCAGACAAAGACATAACACGACAGGGAGACTTCATATTATCCCTTTTCCACATTGGTTATTCAACTGTTATTCACCCTTCAAAATGTCAGCTCCCAACTCAAGTACACATGTACCTCTAATTATACAGGGGCTTAGAGCTTCATCCCCGCTCTGCCTTCCAAACAACCATGAGCTATATACCATCCCATCCTCAGTGCTTTGACAACACACAGGGAGAATTGAATGAAATATCAAGTGTACAGGACATCTGCCAGCTCCTGCTCCTGTACAGCTCAGGTCTACGATGGTAAAAATAGAGCTCAGATGGGCAGACTGGACAAAGACGAAATGTGCAGCATGTCAGTCAGCTGTGCAGACAGCCAGAGAGGAGAATTAGCTAAGTCTGATGAAATCACAATGATTCACAGCACCTGCTTGGAGAGTTGGTGCCATGCTCAGCATCCAGGGTGGGTGGGGTTCGAGACGGCGAGGCCAGAGGTGGTATTTAAGAACTCTGGACGACTGCCATAATTGGCTCATAGGGAAACATGAGGATTCCAGGGGTGCTGTAATGGCTGGCAGGAAGATGAATTATAGGTCTGAATCTTTGAATAACAGGTATGATCCCTCTTCTCAAAACAGCGTCAGTGGAGTAACTAGTCTTTATAGTAACATGTCAATTTCCCCTGGTTATGCTGAGGACGTGTTTCCATAGTTATAACAGGCTTTGTGCCACAAAATCATTCCAATTATCAAAAATGGAATAACACAGCACCGCTCTGTCTACAACACCGAACATTTTTAGCAGATATTTAAGATGACCATTGTCTTTACATGATTTCAGAAAAGTGTTGATGTCACAGCTGACCTTTTCGCAGTCTGTCCACAATAAAGGTGAATCCAGTGGTTCGGGGATGCAGCACAAACTCGCATTTTGGCAGGTTGTTCTGGGCAGCAAACAAATCACTCTTTGCTCTTGTATTTTCTGCAGGAGACAGACACAGTGGTAAACCTCGAGTAGACACAATCACTAAATAAGTGATACATGTTCATTAGTACAGTGTCGTCAAAATGGTTTGTGTCCTCACAGGGATGCAATCAATATTTGTATATTTTATACGATTTACATTATAGTTACAAAGTTTGCATCTGTTTAACTGCGTAGAGTCAGACTACTGTATAGAAGTGAGGAACTAAAAAAAGACAGATACGATCACAAAAATAACGCTATAGAATGACAAAAATATCTGCAACAACAGTAATAATGTCGGTAAGAGGATGTGACTACATTTATGAAATACATCCTCCAGTGACAAACACTTAGACAGTTATAAAAACCACCACAGTACATGAACACAGGAAAGATGAGTGTTTATTAACCATTCCTCAGGAACTAGTTGCAGGAACATGTAAACTACATCATGACTCATTCATATTATGTAACAAGCAGCTGCTTCAGACAGACAGAGGTACTATGGACAGACCTCTGCTGATCAGGCCTCTGTTCTCTTGGGGGGGACGTATTGAACTTGTCACTCTTATGCAATCTTTCAATCGGTTCAGTTTGTGGAGGGTCTTAAGTAAATCCAGAACCTGTTACTGAAGCTGGAAGCCTATGTGAACAAACTAACATGCTTTAGTTATGCAACATGTCAGAGTTACACGCTACTTTTAAAATTATATTTATAAACCAGTTTATTATAATTCTGTTAATTGATTAGGACCAACTGTCACACAGTCACTGACAAAGAGGATATAACGTTAGATCCCACAATAATGAATTTTATTATTCTGAGAAATTTGTCATACTGTGAAAGTCTCAAACAGTTGCAACCCTACTCAGAACATACTGTATACATAACGTCAGAATAAGCCCAGTAGTTTAAGAGACTTAACTGCAGACGCATGCTGGTGCAACCACACACGCCCAAGTACAAACACAACATCAAAAGTGAAACAATCTTTTAAAGCCTTAAAGCTGCCGGCCAATTATGATGTAACTAAACTGGAACCCCTCATGACATCATCAGAGGTCATGACATCATGAAATGTAAAGAGAAGTTAAGCTTCCCCTAGAAAAGCTGCTCTGGACTCTGATTGGCTTAATTGTGATCCAAAGGGGCTTTGGACACCAAAGATCAGAGCATTCCTGCAGAAATGACTGTGTGGGGTGTGTGTCTGGGTCTTATCACTTTGAAATTGTGTTTGCGTAACAGCGTCAGGTGTCAGGCCACACTGAGCTCTATAAACTGGCTGGTGGACAACACGTTCTGAGGATAACAACTGAATTGTAGGCAAAGTGTTGCAGGTATGGAAGGAGCGCTGGGTTCTTGACGTCTCACCAGTTAGATCTGTGCCTTCCGGGAACAGCAGCAGCTGCAGTGGCTCTCTGATGTCACAGAAGTAGTCCAGCATGTTCTCCAAGTGTTTCTTGTCCGCCTCCCAACGACGCTGAATAAAGACAAAGCAGGCCACCTGCATTGCCCAGCCTGGAAAATTCACACAGTGCATTGTTTTTTATATGTGTAAATGATTACTTCTCATACTCAACTGACTTTGCAACACTTTTTCCAGAATTGTACGTATGAGATCTGGGACAGTTGCATCATGCTCTATGATAACCCGCTGGTGGAAATTATGGCTTGTTAAGTCATTTTGCAGGAAAGACTAGAAATACCAGCCTCCAGTTGGAAGACTCCGCCACCCAGTGTGGTTTTAGTCTACATCAATTTACAGTATTTTCAGACTTGTGATGTCACTGTGACTTTTGACCACTGAAATCTAATTAATTAATCTTTGAATGAGTGACATTTGAAAATCTGAAGAAATTCTCTAAAGGCAGACATGAGATATCTTATTCAAGATGCCACATGTTATGTGAGGCCACTGTGACCTTGACCTTTCTTTTCCCACATAAATCAAACCAAATAATCTTTGAATCTAATTCCCTCAAGTTGTTCACAAGAATGGGACATACACAACAACAACTCGAAAACATATTGCCTCTGGCCACTAGTTGTCGCTGAAGCAGAGGCATAAAAACTGCTTATTTTCATTGCTTATATTAAACCGTCTGTTTTTAATCGACCTAATGAATTTACATTATACTGTTTGTCTTCTAAATTTACACATTTGAATGATTTCTCTTCCTCTTAAATGTAAACTACTTCGAAGACATGCTATATGAAGTATATGTTGTATTTATACTATTTTACCAAGTTGTGCAAGTTTGTATAAGTACAATGACAACTGTATACGCACCAAAGCCAGGCACAGCCTTGAGGACAGCTTTGAGGCAGATCTTCTCCAGGCGGAGGTAGCTGTACCTGAGCAGACAACACCAGAGGAACATCCAGTCCAGACGCGTACGGTGGTTCATGATGATCACGCTGCGCTCCCCCGGAATGAAGCCATCACCTGTTATTACCACCTTCACCCCAAATACCAGCTCCAGCAAGGCCTATAAAGTGCAGAGTAGTGGGGATGGACGGAGGATAGAAGATAGTAGTGCAGAGGGGGAAGAATGGAAAGAAGAGAGGGTAATAGAAAGAGAAGAATGGCAATTTAAAAAAGGAATTTAAGAGAAAAATAGTCAGATAGAAGTGAATAAATAATGATATTCATTTTTGTGGCCAGTGTAAACAAGATTTGCAAACTTTTTCTCAAGGGTATAAATGAAGTGTACTTCTGACAAAAATAAATTCTGATGATGAACATGGAAGAATAAATAACGCTGGAGATGACGCATTTATCGTGACTGTGTCAAAAAGGTTATTAAGACCATCTGGCACACACAGAATAAGGCTCAGTAAGGGCTTGGCCGGGGTACGCACCACAGGCAGGGTGAGCCAGGTAGCGACGATGCGATCTGTGATCCAGCGGTACCAAGCAGGAGACAGCAGCATGAGGGGCAAAACTGGACCCAGCATGAATACACTTCCAAAGAAACTACCCAAAAACAGGGTCACCATAAAGTAGAGGCCCCGCACCGACACAGCCATCTGTGGAGAGATGAACGAGACAAGATTAGCTGGAATATATGTCACAGCAAAATGTGAGCTGAAGATGGGGATAAAAAATATGATTATAGAATTTATCCCTGACTTGCTACTATGGAAATGAGCTGAAGAGGAGCTCATCAATACTGAAGCCTGCTGTTCTGTTGTTCTTCCGACATATTTTCCCACAAACAGTGGAAAATCCAGAGCAGACATTCCTTGCGTGGAATGTAAATAGGAGAATCTTTCTGACTGTGGTTAACAAATCGAGGGTGCGTGGTCACTAAATCAAGCGTGGCTGTGACTTTGGAATGATTAACTTAAAGTTCAGTGGTGCAACCTTTGAGCCACTTTTTCTGACATAAATCTACCACAGCCACCTCCAGTTAAATGCCTCCAGCACCCAGCGACGTTTCAGTCTGTATGCATTTTTTACAGGATCATATGAGGTCACAATTCAATTAGTTCAAGTGACAACTGGTGAAAATTTAAAGAATTGTCCTTAGTGCAGACTTCATGTTCTGAACACCAAAAAGATGTTTTGTCCTTTGACAACCAAATCTCTACAGTTTGTGCTCGAGTCCAAGTGTGTGTTTGTACCACATTTGAAGAAATTCCCTCAGGGTGTTCCCTAGACCTGATATTCACAAGACCAAACATGTGTTGACCTTTGACCATTAAAGTAGAATCAGTCCCTCCATTAGTCCACGTGAACATTTGTACCAACAGAGGTGTTTTTGACAAGTTGTGCACACAAGACCGAATATGTGTTTTGTGAGTTCACTGACACTAACGTAAGCATGACAAGGTCATTTTGAAAACAGCCGATTTAAAATGAAAATATACACTCAACTGTTCAGACATCAGTACATTGGATGAATGTAAAAGGAACAGTAGACTGAAAGCTGGTTACGGTTTTTTGTAACAATAACAGCCACAGGAACACCTCATGGTCATTAGATCGCTAAGGGAAGAGAAATGAACCTTTAAAGCACGTTACATGACGTTCAATTGTCTATGATCTTACAAATAAGTTTATAGGGGCTCATCTGGACATACCAATGGAGGGATCAGTTGTCATTTCAATGAAGTCAGTGGTGACCTCTTCAGCATCCAATGGTTATATTAAATGTGGATTATATCCGTCTTTAAAATCCCAACATAACTGTGGTACACCCAACTGAGGTATTCTAACTTTATTTTTCCTGGTAGAGCCTCTTCCCAGGACAGGCTTGACTCTCTCTCACTGTCCTGTTCATCTTGTTGCACCTGCTTTGACTAGTTTATTAGTACACGAACTCTGGTGACCTCATTCATGTAGTACATAGTTTGGGATACAGGTTCAGAAACATTTTTAAAATCCTAAGTCTTTATAAACAAAGACACATTTCACAAAACTTAAGATGTGTACTTCAACCAAATCATCTGATTACATCCCGGCCTTCCTGACAGATGATGGTCCAGTGTTCCAGCAGGTGGTTTCTTCTTTACTGTTAACAGTGATTTACACCTCTTTACCTCAATTACTATGATGATTGCACAAGCATTTGGTTCAGACTGCCTGACCCCAACACTCCCATCATTTTGCTCTTGTTTACAACCTCTGTGGCACCGTGACGCAGCAAGTCTCACCAAAGTGGCTGATGGTGCAATTTAAAAAGATGCAAGTCTGTTTGCGTGCATGGTTATGCTGGCACTGAGGGTTTAAGGGTTACTGGCTTTAACAACGGAAAATGTGAGGCATGAGACAGGTGAGGAAACAAGGCTTGCTCAGCACAGTTGCCACAATTAGACTATGTCCCTACGTACACAAAAAACACACCCTTGGGTGGCTGCTGGAACATTTAGTCAGTTCACACATACAACACAGAGGCATAACACTCATGGAGCAGGAGATGTGAGAATTGAATGGAATTATGAACATTAAAGTGTTAAATAAACATGTTTTTGTTCCACTTGGCATAGGCACCAGGGACCAAACATTATTTATGTAAGGTATCCAAGGAAAAGCTTTTGTTTTCATACTCCAAAGCTAGCACATGTTGTTAGTTTGAATTATTCCCATCCATCTGGGTTGGTTTAACATTTTCGCCTTAGTAATGATCTTGAAAACACTCCCGAAACACACCAGCAGAGGCAACACACAGCATACTCCTCATAGTCCAAGTCCGAATTCCCTGGCAATCATTTTACATTCCTCACTTTAAGCCAAGAAGAGCAGACATCCCAGTAGAGCAGAGAAGAGTGAAGAGGTCAAGCATGTCTAGGCTAAACAATGTGCTTAGGTGGTGTGTGTGTGTGTGTGTGTGTGTGTGTGTGTGTGTGTGTGTGTGTGTGTGTGTGTGTGTGAGGATGAAAGAGAGGAAGGATGATGAAATAGATAATTAAACTGCAAACAGATTTAAGTGCAGGTCTATTTATTGATCTAAAGGGCACTTGGCAGAATCCAAACCTTTAGAACTGAATATCTCTCCCAACTCGCCATCATAAAACAATGATTGCATCTCTTTCAAAACTCTGATTTATTTCCTTAATCTTGCAAATGTACCTTACTGTTAGATATCATCATGATAAAGAGCGGGAGATTAGAATTTTAAAAAATGACTCATTTAAACGGAATACAGTGAAAGGATCAAGACGCCAATGCCAACACTGAAATTATATGTATAAAAATTTGAGGCCATTATCAAACTATTATGACAGAGATATTTATATTAGGCATAACATTTTACACTTAAGTAAATAAAAAAATATTTAAAAAGACATCTAAATATATATAATTTGAATTAAGAAAATAAACAAATGCACATCTTTCTGCAGAATTTTTCGTGTAGAATCATCTGCAAAAAATTTAAAAAACTTGATCTTGAATCTGAGGTTATTCAATTATGTTTTATACCTCCTCGCTGTGTTTGCACAACTCATAAGCATTATATCGAAATATATTTAACCTTTGTTATGTTGCTGTTAATGAAAATCACATTGCGATAATTACTGATATTGTTTTATTGCCTAGGCCTAGCTGATACCAATATGTAGGTGAATGTCAGCCAACTGCTGTGATCCACACGCAAACGCGACTCCAGAGGAGGATCACAGAGGACATTTAGGCTAAAACCATGGGCTAACTTAATTATTTCTGAGTTAAATTTGAATGTCGGGGCAATAACCAATAGATGTTTACAAAGAAATCTGACATGTTTAGAAGACTTATGTCTATGTGTGTGCAATTTGGTGTAGATCCACATAAAAAAACGTTTCATAAGGGGACTGTTGGGATTTGGCAAAGATGTGCACTTTGTGGTTTTCAGGAGCAACTTTTTGTTGACACTGTCCTGTAGTGACCTATAGAGGGATAGACACTGTGCCAACATACACAACAAACGTAGGGGAAAGTGTAATCGATTCTGACAATAATTCCAGGTAACGATCACTTTGCGTGTTAACATCCACTTCTGTTGACTGAAGAATTATTTATTCACTTATCTATTGATAACTCATGAGGTGCAGTGACTGGAGCCTCACAACCTGTCGTCTCACCTACTTCAACAACACAGGATATTTTCTGTGGTTCAATCAGCCCTCATTAGGAAGCGACGTGGATGAACCCACACCTCCGAGATGCTAATCAAGACTGGTTTTAAATTAAACTCGGGTGGGGCGACGAGAGAGCGTCAATGTAACCAGACCGACAACAAGGGTTACTTGAGGTTTAATATGAAGCTGACTGCTTGCACAACCAGGCCGATGTGTACATACCAATCCTCCCGGTTAGCATGTAGCCAGGTTAGTTGTTGACATGGCCTGAAGTGCTGTGTGCTAATATGTGACATCTTGAAAGGCGGTGTTGTGATGAGAGTGATCAAGACAGCGTGCAAAGTTGACGGCACAGTTAACATTAAGAGAGATTTTCTCCACCGTTAAAACAATAACTGCGACTTTAAAACTCAGCACAACTCCGCCATGAATTACATTATGAGTGCAAGTCTATAACATTAGCCTGCATTGCTAACTGCTGTCCGGGGTAATCTGTCTGCAGGGCGCTAATTGTCAACAACAACCGGGCTGAACAACAACATGGATGCTAACTTAGCAACCTAAAAGCAACATTCACACATGTTAGCTCAATTAGCTACCGCACTTAGTATTTTTGGAATATTCTCTGCATGCTGTTGAATGACAACACACCCACCTTTTCTGTTTTCCTCCAGATTCAAAGTTTGTCTGATGCGAGCGAGCTGCGTGAGCTGCGTTAGCTCCTGTAAGCCGAACCACTCGGTTGAGACATAGCAGCTTCGCCAGCTAGCTGGCAGCTTGCTAACGTGAGCTAAGCCAACTAGCAGATGCTTATTAAAAAAAATGCAACCGCGTTACCAGTCTTCAAGGCGGACACTGTTTGTTAAATATTAGCTGAGACTGCCATGGACCCACGGGGATCTTGCCTTCTTTGTCTTTCTTTACTTTAGTAGCACTGCTGCTAAAGTGTAGCCGCCATGTTGCTCTGCTAACACAACCTGTCACTTCCTATCCTGTCTCCACACCCAGGCGCCAACAGGGGGCGCTGTTTGAAGAAGCTGCGGTAATGGGAAACCACAGAGGCAGAATGTGCAGCACAACGTGCCCTCATTGTAAAGAATCAGTAGATTTCACAAAGTGATAGTAACTGTGGTCGATGTGGTTTAAGCTGCAGTTTGAGTTGGGGTGCAAAGGAAAAAAGGAAGATAACTCTGCTCATGTTCCAATGGTGGAAAAGGTGCTCACTTCTTTTTCTTAAAGAAAACTACATTTGATTCTTGTTATTATCATTATTGCAGCAACAATGCATCATATCATTTTAATGTGATCACAAAGGTTCCTGTTATTTTGATTCACTTTCGGAGGCTCTGTGTTTGTCATCATGTGTTTTTATTGGTGTAGAATCAGAATGCACACTAAACCTTAGGTTCTTTGTGTGTGTGTGTGTGTGTGTGTGTG